CAAGAAATATGTAACCATTTAAGAATTTATCGAGGTTTGCGTGCGTGAGTAGATAACTCACCTACCTATACGAACTGCACAAGTTACCAATCGAATTCCCATTACAATTATTCAAAGAAAATCGTTTCACTTCCTACATGTTAATATTATCAAAAATAAGCCTATTTACTTATTTCAATTTCATGACTCTCTATTTTAAAGAAAAATTTGATAACAAATTATGCACATATTCTTCAAAACCGCCTGTGCATCAATTCAACGACGCATCTACTTGAGATTTAATGAATTGCAGAAATATAATAAATGGATGAGCAGGCACCTCATTCGTTGCGTGGAAAAATTTGACGAATGACCGCACTTGCAGCTATAAGAAGTAGGATCTTTTTACCCGTTACACAACTAGTCTCTTTTTCTGCAATCCATGACTGGCGCTTTTGGGGTACCTGCATAAAACTCAAGCTGTCAGCCTTGCCACTCCAATAGCCACGGCAGTTTAGTATACGATTATTATCTCTCACAAATTTGCGATTTTCCACTGAGATCGCGTCAGCCTCTTATCTCAAGAAAAAGAACAGATTTAAAAAGTTCAATAAATGCTCTCACAGCAGTCAAAACACAAGCGTGAAGTGCGCACTCCTCTGAGAGGCGGTCCCTACCAAATTGATAGTGGGCCACGAGGAGGAGCATCAGCGCTGCTCCGCCCAAATAAACCATCGTCAAACCAACTTTTCTTCCGTTGCCTTACTGGAGAAACGACACTGACCACCAAAGAATGCAGTATTGACCGAGTAAAAAGTTGAGCAAGGTTTGCACGTCTGCCTATACCCAGATAATGCAAGGAGACTAGCTCGGCCTCTCGAGTAAGCTTATATACGAGAATGTCCGTCATTCACACCATGTCAAGGAACGCCAAGAATCTTAGACTGAATACATCTCGCATCTCGTTCATTCATATATTACCGCACAACAAAGCTAACATGAACCGACATGAGTGGGTTTTCAAGAAAAATTTGACTGTTGTATTAAGATAATGGAGAATATTTTTGTTCCCGATTATGTACCAATTTCCAATGATATTCAACCAATGAATGAGCTATATTGATACAATTTTTTCTATGGAAACGTGTGATTTTGGCTTAACAACCTAGCTGTTTTGTGCAAGAACTTTCTACCGACTCGTACGCCAGTTATACAGGGAATGATAGGAATACCAAACTATCCAGAAATTTTCACTACATAAGGAGTCTGAAATAACATTTTTGTTAGAAGTTGTGTAATTACGAGTGAGATATAGGTAATTATAGACACCTAAAAATTTGCTAGATAACACCTAAAAATTATTTTTTTTCCAGTTTTTTAGTGTCCAATACGAGAACGATTACGTAACGCTTTATTGAATCTGTCGCTTCTCATAGAAATGCAAGCCCGCCTCACTCCTAACACTGGCTGCTAATGAGCTATACGGTACCTTAATTATATCCGCACCTGCACACATGAGTCATAACGAGCATCGGATTATTAGACAATTTAGATTGAAATAAAAGATAAATATCATCCATTTCCATGAAACAGATTAAACCTTTTAGGACACTAATCAGGATATTGGAAACACTTTTAGCTGCTTCATAAATCGATTATACTAACACACGCAGTGAAGTATACTACTTCAACGCGGTCGACAAGCGCTTTCATCACCTAGCTGCCTGTTGCCCAAGAACCAAAAAACCATCATGTTTTGCAGTATCTGTCAAATTTCAATAATAGATTAATTTTGAAACGAGAGAATACAGTTGAAAAAAGTGCAATCGAGTTTCAATAAATTTGCTTAGTGTCTAACGCACTGATAGAACTACCAATTTCAAAGAAAAATTTAAAGCTTCACTAGTACGATCAGACAATTGTTACAGCTAAACCAAATTCCTATGTCGTTTTTGCGCGCTAAGAGTTCGTTTTTCATGGAGCAAAGGTCCAAATTGTCAATGGACGAGAGGAGTTCTTGCCCAACGATGCAGTACAAAGCGGCCCGGCGGTGTGAGCGAAAGCCCGCGTGTCTTCAGCTCAGAAGCCTGCGAGCGTCCTGCAGTCTAGCGGATATGGCGATGCTTGCCGTTGCCTCCGAATAAACCACTGCTTTGCGTTCGTCATCAAGCGAACACTGCTCGCATTTTCTGGCTTTTTTAACGTACACAAAACATTGATTTGCTCAAGTTAATCTGAACATTTAAAAATTATCAGAAATAAATAATATTAAATCGATTCAGCATTAAAATGTCATTTTTGCATGGATGGAGTAACAGGTTCTTGATTTTGTAAAAGAACATATGAAAAAAACGTTAAATCGTAGAGAACAGAGCTTACTGATTCACGCAAATTTGAATAAACAAGTTTGCGGAACCTAGTGGCTGCCCATATATTAATCGTCAATCTTCTCGCTTGCGCGGCGATAGGCAAAGCGATAACGAACCTTGCACGTGATCCTGTGCACTATATACAAGGTCATTCTTCGGTGCAGTCAAGTAATAATTACGTCTCGGCATTTCGAGTTCACTTATTTCACCTTCGATCGATACTACAATCATATTAAAGGCAATTTCGTAGTCCCTTCAACAACAACCATTTCGCAATATATGTTTTAGACGGAAATTCCTGACCTTAGTCTCATCGTGTTCTGTTTCATTCTTTCATTAAAGTTTCATTTACCTCAGTCCTCAATATTTATTGAATTTTAGGTGAATTTCCAGGTTAGTTGTGGAAGGGGAACAGCCATACATGTTAATGATTGACGCTCGACCGCTCGTGGCAACAGTCCTTGGCAGACGATTGTTAATCCAAGGAATTTCGATGTGAGCTTATCTCGAATGAGTTGCAGCAGGCAGACTGTACGTGTGGGTCAGACTGTGTTTGTGGAACGTCATGCTGACTGTCAGAAATACCGGTCATGTATATACTGTGCCGATAAGAGATAGCATGCCAGACAAGCAGCTGAGTTGAAAGTAGATCACTAATATTTATAACTTATAAACAATCCGAAACAATTAAATTTAGACTATTTAAAAGCATGGATTGCCTCGTTACCGACAGCTGACACTTGGATCTGACCCAAAATGCAGTGGATGCATTGCTCCATTTAATTCATTCAACACACACAATTTGATCTAGATACCCAAAACTCGCTACGCTTAATTTGAAAACCGGCCTACATTATTAACAGTACGGTAACTCCCAGTCGAAAAAAAATCACTAACATTCTATTACAAACATTTGCATTTTTAAGAATTTCGCACCTATACGACGGTTGTGTATTTGAACATGTCACCTAATCCTGACGATAACAGAATATAAGTTATCATGGAAAGCAAATGGTCAGCCGCATGCACGTGAACAAAACCTTCTTGAGACACAAGCGAGAAATGTGGTTGAGTCACGCACCCGAGCAGACATTATAAGCATATATGTAGATGGTCTTTCTACGTATCCCTACAGCCAAACAAATCATTATCTTATCACGACCTTCCTCACTGAATAACAACTCTGACAGACAGACCTATAATATACGAATTATGACGAGCGCAAATGATGCGCACGTTACTATAATACAAAACCTGCAGGGGAAAAAATCGTCACTATGACCGGCTCAAAGATGGTCGATTCAAGATAATAGATGAACAGATAATAGATTCAAGATAATAGATTAGAGCCTCCAAAATCTTATCGCATACGAAAGCTAAACTTGTGTAATAAGCAAGCATAATAGTTATTGATAGAACAAAGTGCAAATAGATGGTGCAAATTCGTATACTCCACGCCAGGGCACAAGAACTGTGTCCACGCTCCGGATTCATTACAAACCAGCATTTGTAGGAGAAGATAACATGTATATTTTATCTTCCCCTAAAAATTCCCCTCATTACAAACCAGCAAAACCGGGAAGATAATATGTATATATTTTTCTTTATAGGCTTTCTCCCCTCATCATATAAACATCGCACCAATAACGATAAACAACTCTCCATTTCCATAATAACTTAATCTAGTAGTATAAGAGAATCTAAAAGGTTTGCAACCCTATATTAATTGGAATAACATTGTAAAAAAACGGAAAACATAGTGCACAGTAATTAATTAAGTTTTTCTAGAACCAAAATGAAAGCGAGGATAAGGAAAATTTTCAACTTGATCTATAACTTATAATAATGAGAGAAATATCACAAGTCGTTGGTCATCTTCGTTTCATTATAAAACTTTCGTGATATAAAAAAATGGCTCTGTTGTTCTTATAGCTATCGCCAATGACATATCAGTCACCATTGCAACAAACTCAAAATATATTAATAAGAGCAATTTAATGATCAGAAATACATTTTGGCAGCGTAATTGGGTACCATGACAAAATGTAAGAGTTTAAAGCTATAGGCAGTTCGAGGAGTAGGCTATAATATATATGCACGAGAGTTGTATGCGTATATTGGTATATAGGCAGTTCTAAGAGTATAATGATAGGCTTTACAAGCTAGGAGTTGGCTGTTCCTATTCGAAATCTATAAAAAATTTAATCATTTCAATCGACGATAAAATAATTTCCAATAGTAGTCTTGTATTGAGTAGAATGGCAACTCACATATCATGAAACATGAACGCGGTGCACTACAACCCGAGTTGATAAACATATCCAACACACGAACGTTTAATGAAAATGAACTTTACTGTTTTGAAATTGAAATATGTACGTGCAAGGTTTTTTCGCCTGCAAGGCTCGGAAGTAAATAGAAAACTATGCTGTTTTAGCACAAAATTTACCTCCTATATGAGCTCCGTTGAAAAAATATTTAAATAGGAAGTTCATATCATTCAATGCAATATATAAAAAAATTACTATAGATGTGCAACATTCCACATTCCCTCTTCAAATGAAGATTATTCAAGCTCTAAAAGCAAGCGGGAGCAAGAAGAACTTTGAATAAATTTGCATCAGTGTTGAATACTAGGGAATCTAGGCTCACCTTCAGACTTTTGAAACGAGGGTCCAGGAAGCTGGCGACCAGGTGCAGAGGTGAGGGACTGAATGCCTGTTGAAAGAGGGGCAGTAGCTGCTCCTGCAGTAGCTTGCACGCTGTTGTGTTGGCAGGGGCAGTGCACAAATGGATTAGTTTGGCACGACACAACACAGCCTGATTTAAAGTTGGCCTGTCGGACGCTCTGATACTCGTTAAACACAATCTAACTTTGCCCAACAGATTTGCCAGTTCCTGATAACCTCCTTGGTCTCCCAGGTCCGGAGCAGTACCTGGCGCAGCTCGCACCGCCGCCAGTACTTGATCGTAGTTAACAGCAACGAAAGTAAGGGCGTGGAGCAAAGCCTCCCATCGAGGGGTGTCTCTAGGAGCTTGGCTGGCCCCAGGCACTCCACAATCAGCAAGAAACTCCAATAAAGCAGTGGTGTCTTCGCTTACCCGCAGGTAAGCAGGAAGTTTGTTCAATTCGGCAAGGGTTTTTTCGGTTGCATGCCACAAACATGGAACCTGAGTGCCTAGCGAAGAAAATCCGTCGTCACTGACAACAATGAGTCGTCGTTCTCTCAGAAGAGAAGGAGATTCCTGAAGACATTCCGACAGTAGAGCGGTGAGTGCATCTTCGGTTGTGTCCCCATCAGTCACTTTGCGGGTGCCCAAAGCATGACTTTTTAGCTGGAACTCCGGAGTCACGAAATGGGCAGCAACGGCTAAAAGCTCTGAATCTGGACGGTGACATGATAAGCATAAATGCGGCTGGTCTTGCAGCAATCTTGCGGACTTGTCTCGTGACACCGCAGCAAGTGGTTCTAAGTGTTCATCCAGTAATAGTTGTGTAGAAGGAATGTTTTGTATGTCATCTTTGACATTTGAGTGAGAAGCACCTAAATTAATGAGAGACATAACCAACTGCTGGAACCCTGGCGAGTCAATAGATGAACCTGGCACAAGGTCTTGGCACATGTATCGCAATAATGCCCGAGCAACTCCAGCCATAGCGGGGTTGGTGCTGCTATTTTCCTCACACTTTATCTCTCGTGGAGGCACACTGTAAGTATCCATGGTATCATCTACCACATCACACCTTACCAAAGGAGGAGGAGAAGTATCATGAGGTGGTGTGAGATTTTGGTGATTATATGATGTAGGACATCGGTGCCTGAGTAATCCTCCCGTGCCAGTGTAGCGAGAATAGGTGACAACCTTGCGGCAGCTTTTACACGTGGCGTAGTTTCTGGGTACGCCGTCAACGATAACAAGAAAGAATCGAGGCCACACGCCGTTGGCGGACGGTGAATTTTTCTCCAGCAGCGTGACACGTGTCGACCCAGAACTTACGAGATGTTGCACCAGTTCTTTGGGGAGGTTATTTCCTCCTCCTCCACCAGGGTCGTCAGCGGTCTGCATGTTCTCGTCGCTTTGCACTGACAACGAACTGCTACTGCTAGCTTCTACGGGACTACCACACCACCTCTTGTTCTCATCAGAACCTAACAACAGTTGTTGGTGTTGTTGCTGCTGTTGGTGGTGCTGCTGCTGTTGTTGCTGTTGCTCCTGTTGCTCTTTAAGCTGCTGTTGTTGGTGTCCTCTCAAAATACTATCAATTTGTATCTGTTGAATTTGTTGCTGTAGGTGTTGGAAACTTTGCGGGTCATTAACGTTCATGGCATTAGCGATGTAGAGTGCTGCGAGAGGATGAGGAACACTGGCCATGATTTGGGGAAGGAGCTGCAGGTCTATGGGGAAGGCGGGCGGAGGAGGCCCAGCTTTCCTCTTGCGTGTGGTCGTTTGAGTCTGGGGGGAGGTTGTGATTGTTGGAGAAGGGCATATTGCTGGAGAATTACATACATCATTTTCCCCTCGCTCTCCTTTGATGAGTGTCTCCATGACATTTTCTTTCTTTAAGGCATTATTGTCCGTTGGGAGTTTCAATTTGGCGTTGAGTCTGACTGCTCTGTTGACGGGTGAACGCTCCGACAGAGGGTTGCATGGGTGCCGCAGCAGGCTGGCAGTGCCACTGCGAGAGTCGCAGTGCAGAACACGGTAACACACCTTGCACACTGCAAACGGCCGCAGCACGTGATCGATACGTACTCGGAAATAAAATTTCCAAGCATCAGCTCTAGCCTTGTGATTAATTTCTAATTCGAGGCGGTCCGAGTGCTCCAGAATTAGCCGCTCGATAAGGGACTTATCGACGACTTCTGTCATGGCGGGAGCCTGCATCTTGGCCGGCAGGCAGCAGCTACCGAGCGCAGCGCGTGCGTGAAACGTGATCGCGTGAGTCAACAGAATCACAAAATGTCACGCACGCTCGCTCAAGCTCATCTCGCACACAACCTTAACTGTTGACGCTGTAATATTCTTCTTATTGCAACCAAGGTAGACCACAAACAAAACAAATGATTAAATACATAAGTTTAAAAGATCAGTGCCACTGTGTGGAACAAGCAGTAGAGGCTGGATGATGCGAAACACAGAGCATGTCGAGATGTGCTCTATGTCGGCAAGGGAAGACAAGAGCGTCTACACACCTACACTACCGCGGTCAGAAGTACACTGGCGGCGTTCGCGCTCAGGAGCCAACTCAGTGAAGGCTTGATTCGTCACGAAGACCAGCAGCGAGTGAGTCAATACGAGCCAGCAGCGCTGGTAGAATTTCACCCCGATCCCCACTCTCCTCCTCTCGTGACCATAGGCTTCACGCCCCCATTTTACCCCCCACAATTGTTGGAAATGACCAGAGATAATCGCCCTAAGGAGGCATACAAAGACGACTTATCCTTAGGAATTTTGATTTCGCTCCAGAATGAATGTCTGGTTTGAAGGAGAAACAATTTTAATCTTCCATCGATTAATTAGTAATTTCCAAATAAAAAGACGCAAATTACACCGATAATACTTGTCTCTACGAGTCAAAGATTGAACGTGAAAAAATGTTTCCGAAGTCCGATTCGGAGAAATTTGCTAGACTTGGAAAGAACCTAACGATATTAACTGCTTATAAACGTATAATTTGATATAAGTGTCAACAAACCACCTAGCGCGAATGAATACAACATAAGGATTTATCAGGTAATCCGCACATCATTGTCAGAGGCAAGACTGAATCGCTGCTCAATATTGGTTTTCTAGAAGTGTCTGGAATGAATTAGGCAGGCTATTGCAAAAATCATAGACTACCGTTAGTGCTTTGACTTTGAGACTTGCACCTATTTTTCTTGGTACAAAATCGCTCTAACTCGATTCTAATTTCATTAAAAATTTAAATAATTCATAAGCTCAATAACTCAATTCAATATAGAAAGACTTATAAGAAAGATACATTTGCCAAAATACCATTGTCACGCAACGCAATCTTAAAACGCTTGACGTAAGTATGACAGGCAACTGACTGGAATGCCTAATAATTATGATCTCGCTCTCAATAGGTAACAATTAGTCTCAGGCAGATAGTACTGAAGAAGAGAACGAAGAGACGAACAGGTACCATACACGGACTGTCGTGAGAGCGTCATCAGTTCTTCATCTGCGACGATCGATGGCCCAAAGAATCGATAGCGCTTACCTGCTCCGACGTGACTGGCGCGGATATCCCTTGCTGTGCTTCCTAAGTTTCTATGCTGCAGCTTTGCGGTGCAGTTGTAAACGTACATCTGCGCGTACGTTTACGACTGCCTTCGTAGTTTTTTCAGAAAATGTCCACTTCATCATGTTAAACGCCTTAAGAGTTAATACTGTACTGTACCTTCACCATTAGCAAAATTATTTACAGTTACTAATTCATTTAAACGTTGATAAGCCTAATTTTCCCAGCTTTGCTTATTACATTTCGGTTCCACCGTAGTTTCGCTGTATATGTGTCTCCTGCTTGTACAGATCTAGAAGGTTACAGAATGTTCTATAAAGAGTAAAGACGGTTCTTCCGCGTTATATAGGGTAGCCATTGACTTCTTACCCATTGAAGCTATTTATTGACAAACTCATGAATATGTTCGTCCTAAGTAACGTGGTAAGTGGTACACACAATTAAAGTGTCTGGTGCAGTTGTCAAGTGAATGTAAGTACACTGATGATAATTTTCCGTTCTTACCTCGCGATCATGATTCATGAACTCAGCTTAAATCGTGTCCAACTCGATTCCTTCAATCAATCTCTCTGTCAATCGTCAGCAAACTTGATAACACAAATGTGAAGAATATTTACATCTATTATATACCCATCACCTTTTACTCATTAAATATATTATCCACTAACGAACGAGACAGTTGTTTACATGTGACACTGTTTAACAGCATTCCGTGAGGACCACGTGGTCTTTTCATGGCTTCCACAGGATCGCTGACCAAAATAAGATTTGTTAATCACAGGCCCATTTCACTCTTAAGCGGACGTGACCACATGCAGTGCCGGGCAAGCCTCTGACTGTCGAAGACATTCCTTCAGCTGAGTCATCACCGGCAGACAAAGTATGCGTATGTGTCCAACGCTCGACCTCGCGGGCATTCACGATAAGAGTTAGTAGAGATCATTGAAACGTCAACCACCAATCACTCGCTGACAGCCTTAAAATCTGCCAATGTTGTGTTTTCTTGACCTTGATTTCATAACAACAAACTTGTCCAAACAAAGTAATATTCGAGATTATCATAGTAACGCTTAAATTAGGTTTTTGTTATTTAATCATTTCAGAGTTGGGTGAGCGTTTTAAATATTATGTTACTTCAGCTCCCAGAACGCACAGTTCCTCAGAAAATGAATGAAGGAAATGGATCCCTGCCTACGGGTCATGCATGAAACGCGATTTGAAGTGGGCCACATTTTTCAGCCTATGGAATGTGGTAAAAACGTCCCATAAATAAGGCGATGAAGATTATTCCAGGTACAAACTTTTAAGCATTAGTTATTTGAAGAGAGTGACGTGCAATAAATATTTTTGATCATTAAATAAACGAAATTAGATAGAAGTTAAATGGCCGGGTTTGCTAACTCGGAGAAGGTGAAACAATATGTCCACTGACAGTTTGTTGAACTGCAGCTGCTGACTCCACTGGATAATGTTAAGAGCATATTAACTTCGGTATGTCCTTATTCAGATATAAATGAAATTATGCCTCTATATGATTCATGAATAGGCGCTAGCAGCCTAATTAAGTCCTGAAGAGAAATATGCGTTTTTCAGAGCTATCTACATGTACCCTAATGACAATTCACAATTTCTTCTCTAATTGGGAAACATGAATGAAGCGAGGGGAATATTTCCATGGACGCAAAACCGCCACAACACGAATGGTTAAAAAAATATAAGCTCAGAGTTGTTGGGTGACAACAGCGCGGGAAAAACCGAGACCTTCAGACAAAAGAAAAAAAGAAATATCGGAAGAAGATTATACCGAGGTTTCTTTCCTCCTCCGGAGCGTGAGCTGGGACTTAAAAAGGTGTTGGTAATAAGTGCGGAACAGACCGCAAGTCTGTCTTTGCCGATCTCGACGGTGCCCAAAAGGCCACAGGACTTCCAAGACAGTGCGTCACTTTAACGTATGGTTGTGCGTGACAAGACACAGACCCGTGAAAAGGTGAGCTTCTTTCTACCTGGCCATGTCGTAAATTTGGTCCTGCGACACACCAGCCTGGCCCGTCGTAGGTACTTAGCCGTTCTTATAATTGTAGGGAATCTATAGCTGTAGCTGATACCGTTGACTATCACCTGGCCAACGATCATCTACATTCTACCTGTTCTACCTGTACGTACAAAATTCCGCTTATCGCAACTCACGCGTGTAAGTTTTCATCTGAACGCTATAGCCTTGTGTTCCTTTCCTGGTTGAATAGATACTGTAGCAATTAAGTCGGCCATGAATGGCCAACCATGAAATATCGACAAAGCTTTGATAATCATTTTCTTTAGGCGTTAACTATTATAACTCTTTAACCGAACATCTTTAGTTTACGTCTATATACTCTGTCGAGTTTGGTGCTATGTACGAGACACCTTTCAGCTCAAGAAACCTGCACCAACGACGACACGATCAGCAGACCGTGAACACCCCTTCTTTTTTTAGATAAGCCCTATATCGACATATTCCGTTTGATAATAAGAACAATCAAAGGTGACATTATAAGAGAATGAAACTCCTGGATTTGAATTCGTTTCCGTTTTTCCTTGCTTTTACAGGCTACTTTGTGCCACCTCTTATTTTTTATCATAATTTCTGATTAGCACAGCACGAACACGAACTTAAATTTGATTTTGAGGGATTTATATAAATCGAGAAATTAGAATTAATTCCATATTTCGTTGTATTTGATCGATTTTACTAGCTGATATTCACTCTGTTTCTCGTCAATAAATGACAGCTAGCTGATCGAGCTTCAAACATCAACCAATTTTACTGGCCGATGATTACGTTGTAAAACAACATACAATTTTGTTGTAACAATCTTGTTTTTATCCATGAAATTTTCGCTTCCCGAGTAAATCGTGATCCCTATAGCGGAGAGTAAAATTAATCACCAACGAAACGCAATCCTTGAATTTCTTTTTCTTTGTAAAACGTATTAATGTCACTTATTTGCTTAAATCGCAAGTTGACTAAAAATTTAAAAGCAAAGAATAGTCCACAAAAATTCATATCTTTATAGAAAACGTTTCGGAGTCCAGCTCCAACGTCAGTTCGTAGAATCTAGAACATACATAGAAAGTCACAAGTTAATACAATTGAAAGCACGCAGAACACAATTAGAACCTAAATTTACAAGTAATAGGGCATAAAAACCTATCTATTCACAATTTCAAGGGGATAGGAGCTCACAGCTGAATTTAAAATGGGCCTAAGCTTAAAAATGTACAATGATTCTAAGATACGCAAATCTGAAGTACCGGAGGTAGAAGCTAACACCCTAAATAAGTCACTGTCAGAAACAGGCACATCACACTGCTCGGCGTGAGTAAACGTATTCGTATTGTAAAACGTATTCGTATTTGCATGTAATGAAATGGAGCACGAAATTTAGTTTACTTCAATCTAGAACTCAAAGTTGAAAATTTCGACATATATAGAATATTTCAAAGCCTTTTATTCCGCGCAAGATAAATTCGATAACTTAAATAGATGAATTATATGTTACAGATGACCTGTGTCGGTCTTCGACTTATACCCAGCATATGCGTAACATTTAAAATGTGAGATTTCTGAGTTTCTTTGAAGTAATTTTAACATTTAGTGATCACATCACCTGCTTCGATATGACCTGCTTCGACACGTGACGAAAGTATCGTACATTGTACGTTGCCTACGATGTTATTATCTGTTCGTAAACTTGACACTAAAACAGTCCTTTTGCGACGACTTGATGACTGAGAAAACTTGACACTGTAAAGCCCATCATGTCATCAAAGACAATGATGATATTTTGTTTTAGTTTTACTCACAAAAATTATGATCGAGAAGTTCCATCGGGAGACAAAACGCTATCAATACATGCACTTACTAAGTTGAAATAATTTACCAAAAAGGGGCATTGGGCACATATGCAGTTCTCCAAGCTACTCTGAAATAACTTTATTACTCATGAATGACCGAAAGATAAGCGCACGCCGCGCAATAACGGTCTCGATTATCCCGTTATTTCCCTGCCGTATACGAGGCTGAGATGGGA